CCATCCTTCCGAGGTGGGTAAAATGACGACCCGGATTGTTGGGGGCAATATGCTGACTCTGTAAACCACTTAGCTGAAAGCCCTATGAAGCGGTATATAAGTCTAACTGCTATTGCTATTGCTAAATACCTGATCACATAAAGGAGAATATTAGTAACTAAGGGTTGAAATGAGGGTTTCTTGGTGCTCTCTGAGCTTGATTGTTTTGTTCCAGATGTTCCATTACCCAAACTAGGTAGCCTCATCAGTGCTGAACAATGAACTGGTGATGCTACCTAGTTTGGATAATGAAACATCTGCAAGAAAATAACCAAGCTCAGAGAGCACCAACGGACTCTCATACCTGATTGGAATGTATTTAAGTTGCAAAGGGGCCTTGATAAAGACAGCAAGATGGACCCTGAATAGCATGTAGATTGAGCTTAAAAGCATGCACAGAGCACAATAACACTAAATAATAATAATACCAAACAATGCTCATATCCAACCAACCCCCCCCCCAAATCAAACCAAACTGAATGCCTTTAATATGCCTTTAATATGCTGACTGAATCTAAGTCTGCACCTTAATACAATAATACAATAATAATAATAAATAACACATCAAAGAAAACCAAATTTCTACCAGTTGAACATGGCAATAGCTTCCTTTTTGGAAGGCACTCCTTCCCTTCTCCCTTTCCTTTTCTTCTGTCCAAGGCTCTAAGCTGTTGAGCCTGCTGATCAGAACAGCAGCCATGTGACACCTGAAGTATTGGGCAACTTGATAATCCTCCATTACAGCGATGGCGAACCTTTTAGACCAGTGTCCCAGAATGCTGGCTGGGGAATTCTGGGAGTTGAAGTCCAGACATCTTCAAGTTGCCAAGGTTGAGAAACACTGTTTTAGACACTGAGTGCCCAAACACTGCCTGCCTTCCTGCATGCCCAAACTGAAAGGTGTGCATGAACATGTGCGCTATGCACAACAGAGTCCCAAAGGCCAGCTGGCCAGCGGGAGGCAGGGTTCCCCAACACTGGCAGCGTGGCAAGAGGTAAGATCTTTTTCTTTCGTGAGCTTCTGTTTCAGCATTTGCAGGGAAACGAAGTTCACCAAAGAAACACCACAGAGATCTGACTTGGGGGGGACGGTGCGCATGGCAGCAGAGAGAGCTCTGTGTACCACCTCTGGAACACATGCCGTAGCTTCACCATCATGGCTCTATCACCTTTGACCACTGGTTTGGGGCCTGACAGGAAAGAGCCGAGGTAGCACAATGGGTAGAGTGCAGTACTGCAGGCCACATCAGTTGACTGCTAGTTCAGCAGTTCAGCGGTTCAAATCTCACCGGCTCAGGGTTGACTCAGCCTTCCATCCNCAACTCCCAGAATTCCCCAGCCAGCAAATGCTGGCTGGGGAATTCTGGAAGTTGAAGTCCGGACATCTTCAAGTTGCCAAGGTTGAGAAACACTGCTCCAGAGCCTTCAGAATTCCACTGCTGAAATGTGATTATCTACTATCAAGACTAGTTGGGTTGAAAGGAGCTACATAGCTGCATTAAAGACATTTCCTAAAAAGCATTATTTCAGGATCACGGAATATTAACAGATGGTGTTTTGAAAACAGGCAAGTACCATAGTATTACAAATACACCAAGGGCATTAAATATTCTGACTCCCGCTGGGGAATCAGGATATTTTAGAATAATTGAGGAGACTGCAAGCAGAACAAAACAGAGCACACTCACATTCTGCAATAGTGGTGCCTGAAAATCCCTCCAATCCATTTTCCTTCAGGATGGCTGAGAAGCTGCATATGTCAAAGACGATAGCATTGCTCCTGGCCACTGCAACAATGAGGAAGAAAAGAACTAAGTTGGGAGTCTTCATTTCAATACAGTAATGATGATTGGGGGAACCTAACATGGTTCTTTATATACTGCAGGGAGGAGATGGAGTTGCCCAGCTGCCCTACATAGTAGGGTTATGTCCCAGGGTCCCTCTACCCCCAGGAAAGGATGGCTCCCCCCCACTGAATGCTCAAACATCCTACACATCCTTCAAAACAATGTAATCTATTGCCTCCCTGGGTCTCTGTTCACAATGCTGACTAACCCTCCCAACTACAAGAATTGTGGAGAAGAAGGGATTGTGGCAGGTGCTGATTGTGGCATCACTCACAGCGCCACTGGGGCTTAAAAACCTGACACCTGACCAGCTATTAAGGATACAACAGACTTAAAGGTGGCCCTGCTAAAATGAATGGTTAATGCTTTTGAGTTGCTGAAGGAGTCCATATCTTAAGGTGGATCCAGGGCTGCACATGGGCAACTTTGTCAATTGCCCATGTGTAGTACAAAAAAAAAAGGATTTTGGTAAATCCTTTAAAACAAAGCAAACAAGGAAACAAACCTCCCCTAAAAAATCGTGAGAATCATTCTCTTGTATTTGATGAATATGACTTTGTCCCAGAATTTCAGATAATTGTTGGAATAGGGTGATGGTAGCCACTGGAAATATGTTATGCTCTGACATAATTTATTTTGGTATGTGTTTACTCATTAAAATGTTTTTGTGATGCAGCAGGGGTTGCACAGGTAACCCACCAGTGGCTGGCCAGGTTAGGTGGTCTTAATAGAATGGACCTTA